ATACATAAGTTTTAGTAACTTTCATTAAATTTTTAGGATTTTTTGTATAGAGAATTTTATCTCCATATTAATATTTTAATGTTTTATATATTGACTGTTTTTCTTTAGAATATTAAATATATATAAAAAAAATTAAAGCAGTTTAAGAAGTTGCAGTATTTTCAAATTTCTTCACTTAAAGCAAATATTTGTTTATAGAGGTTATTAATAGTTTTGTATTTACTTATTAATTGCAAATCTTGCATTAAATGCCTTTCAAAGTAATGAGTGGGATTTTTCGATGAAAGATTACATTTCACCATTCAATGCTGAGCAGTATTTGCTGAGCAAACAACCCTTATAATTTTTTCAATTTGCTTTATTTATGAGTTCTTATCTGTAAAAATTTTGTAACTTTTATTAATTACTTTTTATTGTTTTTTTGATCAAATACTAATAATATTTTGTCAATAATTATTAATAACTATATTAAATATATAATTGTAGTTAGTTATAAAGATTATATCAATTTATGTAACTTTAATTTAAGTTCTTGATAGAATTTAACTGTTGTCAAAATGAAAGAGATGAGCTTAGGCTAGCTGAGGTAAATTGTCGTTGAAATGAAAGAGATTTTGAAATGAAAGTTGTTTGAAAGGCTTTCATACAAGCAACTATATGTAGCATGTTCTAAAACCAAGTCATTTTAATTACATATGCATAACAAGTCATTTCCATAACATTTGCTTATACACATGCATAAGCAAGTTATGTCATTGAATGAAAATTTCACAAATCTTATAATTGTAAATGTTCTTAATATACATTGTTTTTGAAAAGTATTTTTATGTATCATATGATGGGGTAATGTGTGTTTTTAATGTGTTATATAAGACTATATAGGTTTATATTTTGTTAGTGTTTCTATGTGTGTGCTGTTAGTAGTTAAAATAAGAACAATAAACTCTGAATAACTCAATAACCCTTAACTTAAACTAATTTTAAAAATTTAAACTCTAGCATTCTCTAACAAGCTAATTTCTTGGTCCCCTTCAAGGTTTGATTAATTTAAAATTTACTGTAATATGTTATGTTATTTGTTAGTTTTGTGATGTTGTTGTTGTGTTGTTTTGTGTTGATAGATTAGATGACATGGTTTACATTTACGTCGGGGTCTTTTAAAATGATTATTTGGTAGTTTCATTGCTGAAACTGACTGCATATTATCATTCATTAAAAGCTAAAGATTCAGTTTTCAAATAAAAACAAAGGTATATCTTATTGTGATCATTTACTTTTAGCATTGCTTTTTTAAAAAAAAGCTGTTAATCCAAACTTGCAACAATAATTCTTGAAACTTTCACAAAAGATAAACAACCTCACAAATTAGGTTTCTTTTTTATCTGTTTAGTCACATTTCTGTTTTTATCTGTATTTATCTGTTTCTGTATTTATCTGTATTCTGTATTTATCTGTTTAGTCACATATCTGTTTAGTCACATTTTTGAGTTTTCAAATGTATAAATAGAGTACATAACAAATCAATGTGTATTAAGTGTATTCAATAATAATTTTGTTCCATTTTTAGGTCGAATTCCTTCTTCTATGACTGATATTGAAAGTTCCTACATAGCAGAATTTAAGAAATGTTCCGATTGTTGATTGTATTCAAAAAGCTAAAATGAAGCTTGATAATCTTCATACCATTTACTAAAAGATATATAATGAAAAAATGTTTCAAATTAAATTGTTTTTATAAGTATTTTTGATACTTTTTTATGTTGAATACAAAATTTTTTTGTAGTTTTTTTTTTTAAGTTTATTTTATCTCAAGAAATTTTTTTTGTTAGTTTCTCAAATAAATTTCTATATTTTTTATCTTAGGAATTATTGTTTTGAAAGGATATATTAGCTAATTTTGCTTTGTTTTTTATATTTCTGTTATCTTTTTATTTGTGAATGGGAACCATTTATACTTTAATAACCTTTTGTATGCTCAAGATGGTTTCCATTTGCATTAAGTATCGATTGCACAAAAAACAGGTTTAAAAATTTATTTGTCTAATTCCGCAGTAAAAACAGCTTTATTGTATGAATTTGTTAAGAGTTTTTTTTACAGAAAAGCTTTTATAAAAAATATCAAATAGATAAAGCTAACTTATTTGAAATAACTAGGTCTCTTGGGTCCATTGTTCAATGTCCAAATTTGCTTTTTAAATAAACCCTTTTGAGAGAGTTCAAATACTATTATTATCATAGCCTAAGTTTCCAAAAACACCTGAAGAAATGTTATGCTTATATGCTAAAGATACCAACCTGAAGAAATGTTACGTCTTATATGCTAAAGATATTTTTATTATGTAGAAAATATTAAAGTAATAATGTAAAAAGTAAAATAATGTAAAAAGTAAAAGTAAATAGTTTCATATTTAGTATAGTAAATTAAAAATTAACCAGAAGGAAAGAACTTTAGGTAGTCAGTAAAATGCAAACTGGGTACTTTTTAGTGAACCAAGATATTTTAATTACCACAACAGTAATAATATTTAAAAAATTTGCTTATCAATTTTTTTAAATTAAATATAATGATATTCGATATAATTTATTTAAATTGGACTGTTTTCTTATAAATTAATTATAGTTTAACAAGCAATAGATTTATGGATTGCAAAAAAGTTTGCATTTTATCAACTACCAGAACTTTAAATTGATTTATTTTTTGCCGTTTACTAAAATAAAGTGTTAAGACTAAATTAGGAACAAGTTTAGAAATAGTTAGGTGTAGATTAGACTTACCATGACCCGTAGCGTACGGTTCATGACAGCTAGCTTAAAATGAAAAACAATTAATTTCAGAGGCTTAAAAATATGCCAAAACTTAAGTACTTTTTTCAATAGCGTCACTTTAAAGTATAATAACTAAGTACACTATAGAAGAAAGTAATTATGTTTTAGCATGGTTTTTGCATGCACTCACAAAAGCGTACATAATTTTACTTTAAATGAATGCTTCTGCAAAAACTTCAAAAGAAACCGTGCTTAAACATTTCCATTGATTTCTTTTATTGAAAAAAGCGATCATAATGTTTAACCATGGTTTCTTTTATGTTTTCAGCAATTACGTTAAAAGTTAAAAGCAAATGTATTCATTATAAATAAAATTTATCATAATTTTTTTTTAGTTTTCTTATTTTCCATAAAGTAAAATATGTTAATGTGTGTTTGCATATTAAAACTTTTGCACTTTTAAAAGTTTTTTTATTACTTATTTATCATTAATTTGTGGGCACTTTGAAAATGTGTAAAAAAAAGGTTTTTGAAAAATAAAAATTGAATAAATTTACCAAGCATCTTTGATATATTTAATAACTTATTAACTAGAATAAAAATTATTTGAACTTATTTGACATAAATCTCTTAAATTAGACATTCGTCAATAAATAAAGATAGGCAAGTCAACGTTCATTAAAAAAAAAACTATATGTCATGCCCTGGGATAAAAAATAGTTGGCAGATGCAATTGTTTCAAGATTATTGTAATTCCATTTTTTTAGTAAACAATTTCTTAATTAGAAATTATATTTCCATGATAAAACGGTTTGTAATTATTTTTTGATAGCTTCTGTACTCATTTTGCCTTAAACTCTAATCTGAATATTTTTTTCAATGATTGCCTTTAATTAAGTTGCATTAAAGTATTCAGGAAATTTTGTGGCAGTTTAATTGTAATTATGGAATCAATTAAATTAAAAATCGCATTTACATTTGCTTTGTTTTTTTTTTAGGGCATTTTTTATCAAAACCTGCAAAACACGCTAATTATCAAAACTTGCAACGAGCCTTGGTCAAGTTGTTAAAATAAAGAACTATATACATGGTCATATAAGGTGTGTGATCACACGCCTCTTATGAGTAGGCCTGGCAGGTCTAACTATTTTTACAATGCGTTTTTCCCTTTTGTCTAAAAGAGGAAGGGCATTATTAGAAGATCAGCCCCAAATATGGCAACAGTATTTCATACAAGGTCGGATTTGAGATTTATAGAGATAGAGAATAGAATCTGGTTTTTATGGGAAATTTGTTAGAAGACTTGTTTTTATTTTTTAATTTGGATATCTTAATTTTTCTTTAACTTAAATTATCAGTCTAGTCTTAAAAAAATCTTTATAATTTTTCTCAACCTAAAGTACAAACAATTGTATTTGTATTTTGAAAATGCGTATTGCATATATTTGTATTTGAATTTATAGCGGGAACTCTAGAGTTGCCATATTTGTATTTGTATTTGATCAAATCTATTTGACGCTAACCATGGTATTTAGATAAAACCTGTGATACCATGCTTAAATACCCTGAAGCCAGGAACTTCAGAACATATATCAACTACCTTAAAGCTTGCTGATGCAATGAAGCTACATTAACTGATATTTTGACATTGATATTAATTTTTTTTTTCTTTCTATTTCTGAATAAGCTATACACTATTAAGACAAGCAAAACCAGTAAGCATATGCTTATCTAAATACATTTTGATAGAAATATATATATATATATATATATATATATATATATATATATATATATATATATATATATATATATATATATATATATATACACACAACTATTAATGCATGTTTAGATAAACAGTGTATTTCATACTGAAATAACTTGCTTTGCTGACTTCAGTACATGTATCCACTATCTTAGATAAGTAATTGCTGATCTATATATGCTATAGTAGATGTATATATGCTATAGTAGATATATATACGCCATACTAGATATATATATATATACGCTGTAATAGATATATATACACTATAGTAGATATATATACCCTATAGTAGATATATATATGCTATAGTAGAAATATATACCCTATAGTAGGTATATATACACTATAGTAGATATATATACACTATAGTAGATATATACATATATATATAATTTATATATATATCATAGATGAGTTTTTGACTTTATGAAAATCCCGGAAATTTTTTTCTTTGAAAATCCCGGAAAATCCCGGAAAGTCATTTTCATGAAAATTCCGGAAAATCCCGGAAAAATTTAGGGTCAATAAATTGACGAAGGTATGTGGGTAAATTCTGGAACGTTGGTAAAGGGATAAATAAAGAAACTAAAAACTACTCATTAATTATGTTTCTCTAAAATGAAATATAATATCAAAGTTTTAACATAAGCAACCTGCAAAGCGCAATAATTTCTTTATATTTAAAATATAAAATTTAAGACAATGGAATAAATGTCAGAAATCAATACTTTTTTTTCTTATAATTTTCTGTTGTGAAGCATTCATCAGCTTTTCTTTTTCTGCACTTTTTTGCATGATCAATAATAGATTCTTTAACTTTTTTGCACTGTTCATGTAAGGCAATTTTTTTTTCCACGTTGAATTTATATTTAAAAATCTTTCTTCAACTTTTCTATTTTTCCGATGGAATTTCATTTTTTTATTATAGCATTTGCTTGCAGTTTGCAAATGACCACAGATATTTTTGTTAACTGGGTCATGACATTTCCTTTGCGTATTCAATCATATGGGATGTTAAAGATATTGGAAGATTGTGTTCACAAATAAATGCGAGTGTCATAGCTTCTGCATTTGATGTCCTGTCTCTAAAACTTACAATAGGTTTAATGGTAGGCTTTACTCTCTTTGTGCAAGTACTGCCAATATGCACGTTATATACACATATCTGTTTTTTTTAAATTAGTAAAAAATGACGACGGTATGGCTTCATTGGACTTAATCATTGCGCAGTTTTGACGATGCATTTTAGACTTTGAGTGGCTGAGTAAAAATTTTTTACCTTCACTTCCATAATAAAAGTCTTTATTACATATTGTACATCGTACCTAAAACATCAAATCAAATAATATATAACTATGATGAAGTTATATATTTCAGTGTTCAGTTAGAGAATAAACTTACCGCTCCGGCTTTATTTATCTTTGTAATATAGGCTGAATAATGCTCATCATTATAGTCTTTCTCTTGAAGCCAATTCCAGCGAAACTTGTTTTTAATATTTTTGTCTATCTCAGAAATGTCAGATAAACTCTTAACTTGCATTTTCTTTTCTTTCTTCTTGATAGTAATTTTTAACGACAAGATCTTTTGCAAACGTTTAAAACGGAATTTACATCAATTAACTTCTTAAGAAAAAGAATTTCTAATATTCGAAAAAGTTAATTTGAATGAATTAAAAAGAAAAAAAATTTTTGAAAAAATTGATCTCGTGAAAATTTGATTTATAGAAAACATAATTGCTTAAATGCAAACCATGTCGTATTTAAAATTTTATATAACTTTTTACAAATCAATAGCAAAAAGCATCCGGAATTTCCCGGAAACTTGATGTGAATTTCCGGAATTCCGGGAATTCCCTGAAAAAACTCATCTATGAATAAACATCTAAAAAAAAAAAAAAAAAACTCATCTATAGATAAACAGTGTATTTCATACTGAAATAACTTGCTTTGCTGACTTCAGTACATGTATCCACTATCTTAGATAAGTAATTGCTGATCTATATATGCTATAGTAGATGTATATACGCTATAGTAGATATATATATGCCATACTAGATATATATATATACGCTGTAATAGATATATATACACTATAGTAGATATATATACCCTATAGTAGATATATATATGCTATAGTAGAAATATATACCCTATAGTAGGTATATATACACTATAGTAGATATATATACACTATAGTAGATATATACATATATATATAATTTATATATATATATAAACTTACAAAACAAAGCAGTCTATAATACGGTATCACAACTTTTTCTTTACACTTGTTTAAATTATAAGTTACATGGTTCACCACTATATCTTGAGAAGATGAACCAAGGTAGTCATTAATCTAAAATGATAAAAAAATTTATCAATTTATAAGGATAGAGGAAACGCATGAAAGTATAAAATAAAACAACTTTAAGTGTTAGTACTATACTACAAAGGCTTTACAATTATTAAATTTAACAAAAATAATGGTGCAAAACTACTTTAGAAGCAAAAGTTACCATTTTGAAAAATATCATAAATTATTATTTATACTTACTTCAACACCACTTGTTTCAAATAGATCAGCATAGCTTGAATTTATACTTTCTGGAGATCTAAAAAAAAAAGTAAAAACTTTTTATCTCAAAAATCAGATTTAATCTCAATGTTTTGATAAAAATTAACATTAAAAAAACTAAATTTATTTCTACTTTCTTTTAAATATAAAGTTAAAATAATAATTAAAAAAAAATAAAAAAAATTTTTCTAAAAACTTTTTTACAACTTATCATAACTATTTTTTACAAAAAACTTAAAGCAATTAAAAACAGCAACAAAAAACTCTTTAAATTCCAGTCAACTTCGAGTCCATACTTTTAAACACTCCAATTTGTATATTTTATGACATGGAAAGTAAAAACTTTGCTCTAGATGCTCAATTTTATTTTTGATTGGAAAAGATCCTTACCAAAAAAATACAAAAAAGTTATACTTCTTGCTTAATTGAATAAAAAAAAAATTTAACTTTATTTTAAAAATGTGCTGGAAAACCCAATCTTCTAACAAGGTTGCAACCATTATTAAGTTATGAGTTACTAGAAAATAGAGAAGTTAAAGAGCAAAGAAACAGTTAACTGAAGAATTAAAAAGTTGAAGGTTGTACAAGTCAGTAAAACATCAAGATGGGTAAGAGTTATGATGTTTTGTTGGTGTGCAAGGAAAAAAAACTGGATTAATAAAAGTTTATGAAGGGACATCCAGTACAAAGATGCAACTTTTTTAATAAGAAGCTAAGTGAGAATGAGTTTTGGTTGATTAAACACAAGATGATAGCTCGTTTGAGCATTGAACATGATAAAATTTGTAGAAAAAAAGAAATTAATGCAACCTTACGACAATGAGTGGCAGCGCTTGGCAGAGCAGGTCTAATTACATATATAATGTGCTTTTAGACTTTGTCTGAGAGTAACAGGGTTGTTATTCGTCAATATAGGAATGCCAAAAATATTGCAATATTTTTTTGAATAAATGAGTTTTGTTGCCTAACAAAAATTGTGGATTTCAAGTCCAGACTTAAAATCCACAAGCCACTGCAAGCCCCAACTATTACAAAAGAGGAATAAGGTCAAAAATCGGCTGCTTGTTGCTAAGCAATAAAAGTTAAGACTTTTTGTCAAGACAAATGTGTAAAGTTAATTTATCAACAAATAGAGCCACTTTAGATGTAAAATTCTCATGAAAGCTGTTATTGTAGATAAGAAACCATACAGGAGCAAAAAAAAACCTTGGAGTATCCTTAAAGTTACTCAAAATGAAGAAGAGTGTTGGCCTTCAAGAATAAATTTAATACTGCAGTTAGAAAGAAATGATTTAATAATTTTAAAACCTTTATATAAAGAAACTAATAATAGAATGAGGACTAATTGTAGGATAGTTGGAGAGGTCAGAGTGTTTCCTAGTGTTTTCAAAAATTGGAACCACTTATTTAGCACTTATTAATAGTTTAGCAAAAATTGAAGATTTGGAAATTTAGCATTTGGAAATGCTAACCTAACAGCCAATGCTAAACTAACCTAAAAGGGGTGTTTATAGATTCAATCCTTCCCAAGAAGCGTGTGTGGTTTTTTGTCTTATATGACATCACATGAGTATTTTACTTTAGACAACTTGATCACAGCTGTCTGCAAGTTTTATAATATAAATTATTGCATTTCAAAAACAAAAAAAGCAAAACTAACAAAGAATGAAATAAAAAGAAATTAATAATTTAAATATATTGTGTACTGTTTTTATTTTTGTTTCTTAAGAGTGGTTGTTATTTTCAGCAACAAGTATTTATGAAAACGTATATGTAATAAATGCATATACTTTTATGTATAACTTTTTGTATTATATAATTATATTTATTACTTCCTAATTATATGTGATTTAGCTTATTTGGATGAGGCGTAGACTTCCTAATCGAAATGTTTGTGGTTCGAGACTATAATAAAATATAGAAAAATCTTTCTTTATAATGTTTAAAACTGTTTGTTTTTTTTTTGCTTTGACTTAGCGAATTTTGTTGCCAAAAAATAACAACCACTCTGATAAAACAAAAAAAAAACAGCACACAAATTACTTAAATTATTATTATCAATTTATGTTCATTTTAATTTCTTATTTTGTTAGTTTTGGTTTCTTTGTTTTTAAAACTTTCTAGAGTAACACATAAAATAACAACAAATGTGTATATATAATAATATATGCATATAATAACATATGCAAACAACCTTGACCAAGTTGTCTAAAATAAAATACTCATGCACAGACATACAAGACAAAAAACCACAAGCATTCTTGGGAAGGCTTGAGATTTGCAAAAAGATCTTGATACTGTGGATCACTCCATCCTTCTTTCAAAATTGAAATACTATGGAATCAGAGGCATTGCACTAAAATGGTTTACTTTATATCTCCAAAACAGGAAACAGTTTGTATTCATTAATGGTACTAAATATGATTTAAAGAAATCCCATAAAGTTTAGTTTTAGTACCACTTTTACTTCTTTGTTTTATTAATGACTTCAATACTTCTTTTAAATTTGCAACTGCTTACCATTTTGCTGATGATACTAACATGCTACTGGTTAACAAATTACATAAAGAAATCAACAAACATATTAATCATGTTCTTGGAAATCTTATTTAGTGGCTTCGTTCGAATAAACTTTCTTTCTCTCAATTCTGACAAAACTTTCTCTCAATTCTAACAAAACAGAGCTGATCATCATTAAATTCGATCTGACACCAATTAAGCGCTTAAAATTTCAGACTAAGCAGACAAAAAATTTATCTCTTTTCAGCTCTATATCATGGTGTTGAAATTGATTCTAGTCTTTCTTTTCAAGACCATCTGAATGACTTGGCAATAAAACTCAGTAGATCTAATGGAATGAATAGCCAAAGTCTACCATTATGTAAATCTAGAAACTCTAAATATATACCATGCTATTTTTGGGTCCCATCTAAGATATGCATTTCAAATATGAGGACAATCCCATAAATAAATTCTTTTAAGTTTTTTCCATCTCCAAAACAAAACCTTGAAAATATTATATTTTCAGTTTAATAACTTTAAACCTAATGTTCTATATCATATCTTTAATATATTAAAATTAGGAAACCTTGTGGTATTCCTTAACTGCCGATTTGTCTAGAACTATCATTACAAAAACCTTCCCCTATCATTGAACAATTTTTTTACAAACTGTCACTATTAGTAAACAACTGTGGTTGACATTTGAGCGGGGCCAGGTTTGATAAAATATAGCCAAGGACAGGTTTGTAACTGGGGCTGCCTTTATACATCCTAAAGTATATATTTTTAATTCCAAACTCATGTTATATTTTATATATAAACATATATAAACATCATCATGATCAACAAGATCATCATAATCATCATCATCATCATCACATCATCATCCTTATCATCATCACGATCATCATTATGCTTTAGCCTTCCCTTTTTATGCTGTTTGTCTTATATAAACAATCTTGAGCATCGTTTTTCCTTAACTAAAGCTCATTCATACAATATGTAATGTACTCTCTTTAAGTTTTTTTACTTCTACCACTACCATTTTCTTCTAAAGATGCTACCTTTCTGCATGCTAATACCCAAATCACTTTAATCTTCTTTGACAAAAATTGTTCAATACAAACATTTTTTTAATCTCTGTCTTATGCCTCCTTATCTTATCTTGTTAAAGTCATACTAGACATCTGATCATCTTTTCTTTCAGCAAATACTACACCATATAAATAGAAAAGTTTATGTAAATATAAAAAGATATTGTATGCCGGCATCTAAATAGCAAACATATATACTCATATATTATGCATCCATAATTACGCATCTTGGAGACTTTTATTCCTTCTGCAATAAAATTTTAGAAGCTTTTATTATTTCTCTTTAATTTTATTCATTTCTTCCTAATTATATGTCTCAGTCTCAGGCCTCAGCAAACTAATAAAAAATAAGAATAGATTCACTATAGCTCAGTAAATCTGCATTAAAATCACCCATTAAAAAGATTAATTTTTGTTCTTTGCTTAACTTTTCAAGCAGGGCAGTTAAAAATGTTGATTGAATTCATTAATGGATGATGATATATACAACCAATTAAAACATATGTTTTGTGGAGCTTAATGATTCCAACAAAAATAGACTCGTAATTTTGGCAAATCTTTAAAGGGATCCCAAAGTGCGGAGACAAGTTGTTTTCATATTAAAGAGAATGGTAAAAAAAACTAAATTTGTTGTTGTACTCAAAGTTCAATGTCTCCATGTTAGCCAGTTCCTTTAATTCTTTAAAATATATGCCCCAATATACAGACTTTCAAAATTTTTTCAAGAATTACAAAGTGTTTTAATTTATGACGTCATTGTAGAATTTCGATAAGAAATCTAAAAATTATTTTTTTATCAAATTATAGAATTTTCTTTTTTTTTTTTTCATTACAGATTACTAAAGAATTTGTTTAGTTACTTCTTATTATATAAAAGTCTTCTTTTTTTTTTCATCATAAATTACTATGGAAATTTTTTTTTTTTTTTTTATATTTTTACAAAGTTTGTATTAAAAATATGAATAAAATATTTCAGATATTTTAAGCTTGTCTATTGCTATAAACTATTTTTGTGTTATATTTATTTTTACTAAATGATTATTATCCTTAGTAAGATTCTGTTAAAAAAATTATTTTGTATTATTTTACTACCAAAAGTCGCTGACAGCGCACAGTGGACCAATAGGTGGACAAAACTATTAAAATCTGTCTGAAAACTTGAATTTTTTTTAAACAATTTTTCATAAGATATAATCGGCACCTCAAAAATATTTATATTAAATTTTAAAAGAATATATTCTCAACAAAAAATCATTTCAAGTAAAAGTTTTGCAAAAAAAAAAAAAAAAAGCGAAAATGTAGCTTGTTACAAAACAAAAGTGTTGAATTTTACAAGTGTTAAAAAAGTAGCAGATAATAGCAGCTAGATAAATAATTTTATGAAAGTATATATATATAACCTTCAAAATATGTAAAAAGATAAGGGCGAAATAGACCACAAATTTTTCCTTGTTGTCATTTTAAAAAAAAAAAGTATAAAAAAGGACATTTGTTACCAAAAATTATATCCAAAACTGGTTTAAAATTTTTTTTTCAATTCTTTTTTGTTTAAAAATTTTATAAATTAACAATTATTGGAATATAACAATTTTATTTGAATCTATTGCCCACACTCCCCTAAAATGTTTTATGGGAAAAATTTACAGCTCTCGTAAAAAAAAAAAAATTTTCTCTCAAAAGTTTAATTATCATTGTAACTAAAATGAAATACACAAAGTCAAAAAAATTTAATTCATTAGATAATAAACAGGCACAGTTTTTGCCTGAATATTTTTACAGCACAATAAATGACGCTTGTTACCTGTATATTATTGTAAAATTAACATTTCAAACATATGCTTGTAACAAGTATAAATCCAAATTTTGTATTTAATAAGCAATTTTTATATAAATAGACAGATAGCTTGTGCAAAAACCAAAAGCTCTCATAAAAAGCAGTTTAGAGAAACAGCTCGTATGGCTTGCCATGTTCATTTTAGGAGAGCTTTCTCCGCTCTCGCGCTCATTTACTCCTGCTGAGGCCTATATATATATAAAGTAGAAAATCACTTAAGAAAATTTTTTTTCATTTAACACTGTGTTTCATCAATAAAGACTCATCAGAAATGAATGATCAAATTAATAAAACTTCAATTTATACCAAAAATTAAATTACAGGAATTAAATTGCAAAAATTAAATTACAGGAAGCAAATGTCTTAACTAATCTAAATTTTCACACATTTGTGGAATAAGCTGACACTATTATAAAAAGAATTTATTAGAATTGATTACTTCTGCTTTTTTTTTAATATTTTTTAAAAGAGGGGATTTTGTGTAACTATTATTTGATCGCACTTATTTTTATAGTTTTTTAGGAGAAATTTATTTTTGTGCCTGCATTTAGAAATCAATTCTGATTTTTTGTTTAAAAAACATTTTTGGTTTGCATGTATAATAATTTCAAATTTTTCTTGGAAATATTGTTATATGCAGGTGCTGTTTTAAGAATGGATCAATGAAGTATAAAATCATCAATATTTTTATATTTTAATTCCCATATATATTTTATGAGAAAGCCCCTAAAAATATTGAAAGTGCAATTAATTTAGAAGCGCAAAGTATTGCTATAAATTTAAACCTTGATAACAGAATCGAATCAACTGCCCAAGCTTTCATAACACTAAAAGACCATAAACCAAATTTTCAAAACATACTTCCTTGTAAGTTATTGGTTCCCTCAAAAAGCAAGATAAGATATGTAAGCAAAGTTAAATTGGACAAAATTAATAATATTCTTAGAAATAAATTAAATTTGCAACAGTGGAAAAATACCAGTGATGCTATAAATTGGTTCTCTATAATCGAAAATAAAAATGACTGCACATTTATTCAGTTTGACATGAATGATTTTTACCAATTAAAAATATTTTTTAATTTTCTATTAAAATTCTGATTTTCTACTACTATACATTTGCTCTGTTTTAAAATTGTTTAAATGAAAGAAAATTGAATTGAAAGCAAGAAAATTGCTTTTACTTGATGCAGCTTTGCAAAGAACAATGATAAGAAAGAGCTTATTTATTGCAGATAGTGAACAAATTAATTACAAAATGAAACAATGAAATCTTATGCATAGAGGACAAGTCTAGTAATCATTTTAATTTTTTTATAATTTTTTTATAAAAAATATTAAATAATAATTAAAATCATTATATAAATTTTAAGGTCATTAAGTCAAACACATAATTCTATAACTCACATAATAGATTTGATTTAATGGCTATTAAGTATATTATTGTGAGAACCAATACAAACTTCAAGGTTTTTCTGATGCATAAGCAAAAGAGATTTGGCTCAATTGATTTTTTTTCTAAAAAGTTAGGGAAGGGCTTGTAGATCAATTTTTAGTTAGAGATTAATAGGATGAACGATGATTTTGGGGATTATTGAAAATTTTAATTGAATTACTCATTTTCATCATTACTATCACCATTGTCATTATTATCATCACCACTACCATAACATAATAACTGTCATTACTCTGTTATTTGTTACTCTGCACATAAATGGGTTGGGAGACTTATTATTACTTGGGAGTATAAAATTAGTTTTAAAAATTTTATAAGTCGGGTAGTTCAAATAACCACATTTCCGAAATCCATATTTCACAAAGGTACAAACTTAACAAATATTACATTTGTCTGAAAGATAGTTCAAAACCTTAAAAAACAAGGCATCGTTACTACATTAAATGAAGTAATAAAACTTAAAACTTTTTAAATTAATAATCCAATAAATTTTACCTCGAGCGTACTTGTAGACTGTTCGGTTCTTCAGGTAACTTTTTATTATAGTTAAACTCTCCTAATTCTGATACATGTGAAGACTCGTTCATTCTTTTAAAACCTTCTTTTGAAATATTTCGAAGCATCTAGGTAGTTAGATTTTCAATTTATTTCGACCTCTTTGATATTTCAAATGACTGTTTAATTATATATGTAAATTTACATTACTTATCATTAACTTTTTTTTAAATCATTGTATTTTATAACGAAAGTGAAACTTTTGTTCCTCGTATGTTATAAAAAAAGATAACAAACCCGAAATTTATGAATTAAAATTAACGACTCAATGAAAATGGTTTTGTTTTTTTTTCAACAAAATATTCAGGCATTACACTGCGGAGTAAGAAAAAAGCACCGCAGTGTTAAAATAATTTCCTGCAATTACTTTTTGGTCGATTTCTATTATTATTTAAAACAACCAAATATCATTACAAATGCAAAAAAAAAAAATTTCACCCACAACCTAGATATTATGTATGGTATGTGGGGAGTGTGGGAAAGTGTTACCCCCCCCCCCCCCAAGAAGGTAAATTTCAAGATATAGTCGGGTTTTTTACGAATTTAATCGGCTAGTCAAGTATGATGGGGTCGTCCATGAATTACGTCACGCAATTTTTGACAATTTTTAACTCCCTCTCCTCCTTCCCCAAGCCCCCCCCCCCTATCGTAACGCATACGTGGCGCTTTATTGCCACTACACCCCCCCCCCCCCATTACTAATAAACAATATAGTAACCCAAACCCCCCCCCTTCCCTACGCCCTTAAAATTATTTCAAAGTATTTTTAGATAGAGTAGTAGGGGGTGCATAATTTTACAAAGAACAAAACGATTTTAAATGTAATAAAAGGCAGGGTGAATAAAAATAAGCAATGTTTTACCTAAGTAATTGCTTTAGGCTTTAATCAGCTCTACGAGATTAAAAGCTTCAGTTTTGGTCAAATTTTTATTCACGTAAATAAAAAAAAAACTCAGTAATTGATCAACTATACATGAATTAAACTGAGCAATTGCCCATACTCATTATTTGGTTATCTTAACGTGAATAAAAACTCTCGCAATTTTGGTTAACCCGGTCTAATGTCTTTAATTCTATGAGCTTCTTTGAGGTACTTTACAGTCTGTTTAATGTTTTTTTTTCACCACAAAAATTCCATGTAAAAATGTATGAGTTAACGGCACTTTTCTGAACATGAGTTTGCTTAACTTGAGTAAGTGTTTTTGAAATCAAAGCCTCGATAGATTTTTTTTCTACATATATACAACATGCCAAAAAAAACGTTTTCAACAGATTTGTGGCTATGAAAATAGCCGTTTTTTGTTGCTGGAGAGTTTATCCGCCGAATCCGTACAATGTGCGCCCTTGCCTCTTTAAGGCGTAGACAACATCCATGGCGGTAACAGTCTTTCTCTTGGCGTGCTCCGTGTAAGTCACAGCGTCGCGAATCACATTTTCCAAAAAGACTTTCAGAACACCTCGAGTTTCCTCGTAGATAAGCCCTGAGATACGCTTGACTCCACCTCGGCGAGCTAGACGACGTATAGCGGGCTTTGTGATGCCTTGAATGTTATCACGCAATATCTTGCGATGACGTTTGGCACCACCTTTGCCGAGACCTTTTCCTCCTTTACCACGACCAGACATGTTGAATTGTTCAGTTGAATACTAACTTCTGGCGCGATTTCACTAGTTTTTATTGCACGTCAAAGCTAACCCGACATAGATGGAAGCAATGCGCAAAAACACGCAAACACGACTGCTCACAAAAAAAGGCGCGCGTATTTTCATTATTGTGTACGTTCTAACAGATATTTTCAATTTGGATCAGCTAATCAATTGTATAAAAAAAAAACGAAAGGTGAAGCGAACTAGCAAAATAATAAACTGATCACGTCCGCCATATCAACGCAACGTTTGAAAGTAGAACTAAAAGCTAGAGAATCTGCAAGTTCAGAGCCCGCGGCGTTCATTTTTTCAGCAAAAAAGACGCCGAAGTTTTTGCAGAATTGTTTGAGCCAATCAAAAAGCACTTTCTAAGCGCCAATCAAATTGATGCACTCTTATAAAGGCGCTAAACTCTAACATGTCAACAAACCAGCGAATTAGTTTAAACTAGTGCTATCTCGAAAGCAGTGCAATTGATCGACTATGGCCCGAACAAAGCAAACTGCCAGAAAATCCACCGGTGGTAAAGCACCTCGAAAGCAGTTGGCAACGAAAGCAGCAAGGAAGAGTGCCCCAGCTACCGGCGGAGTGAAAAAACCTCACAGATACCGACCCGGTACCGTAGCTCTCAGGGAAATCCGAAGATACCAAAAGTCAACTGAGCTCCTCATCAGAAAACTACCGTTTCAGCGATTGGTACGCGAAATCGCGCAAGACTTCAAGACCGACTTGCGCTTTCAAAGCACTGCCGTCATGGCCCTTCAGGAGGCGTCCGAAGCCTACTTAGTCGGCCTCTTCGAAGACACCAACCTGTGCGCCATCCACGCAAAGCGTGTCACCATTATGCCAAAGGACATTCAGTTGGCGAGAAGAATCAGAGGAGAGCGAGCTTAAGAACTTCCTTATTCACAAAACGGCTATTTTCATAGCCACAAATCTGTTAAAAACGTATTCGGCTTCGACCGCGGTAGTGTGTCTACGCTACTTGCCCCATTACGGTTTTTCAGTACCCCAGTAGTATTTTCGATGAACCAAATGCGTTCAATAAAAAAAATGGTCACACTTCTAGTGTGCGTTTTAGACCTCTCTACGACAATGCGCGCCATAGACGTTTAGATTTACCCTGAGAATGTTAATAATTCTGCGATGGCCACAAGTAAGAGATCAAGCTCTAGGATATCTGGACAAACACACGGCGGAGATTTTGCGAAAGACTGCTAGCGCTATTCCAGGGTGTCTGCCAATATTGCAATATGGCTTTTCCTGATCTACTACCTGTTTTTCCTGATTTAATTTTAAGTTACTGAAACTCAACTCCAGAAAAAATAGGCTTAGAAACACGGTCTTTCGTTGCAAAAATGTAAATGACATTACGGTGATCTGGCAATTCTTTTTTTAGTTTCAACTCAAAGACTTTTGATGCAAAAAAGTGAGCGTTTTTCGGGGGTTTGTTCGTAATAAAGTCGTCTTGTAAAGTCGCATACGGGCTTCGTCAACAACGCAGGATTTTGTCGCAACGAACAAATCCTTATCTGTTCTATATGCCTATGCTCGTGTTTTTAGAAAGATGTGTGGCTATGAAAATAGCCGTTTAACATGAAAGGGCAAGCCGAACTTATTTCTTTTCGACTTTGGCGGTGGTCTTTTTCGCTGCGACTTTCTTCTTTGGAGTTGCTTTGGCTTTCTTGGCAGCAGGTTTTTTTGCTGCCAACGGCTTTTGGGCGCTCTTTTTCACTGGCGTCTTCTTAGCTGCTTTTTCCTTCGGTTTTTTCGCTTTTTCTTTGGCTGCTGTCACCTTTTTGGTCGGAGCGGCTTTCTTTTTGGGCGTGCTTTTCTTCACTTCTTTGCTTTCTTTCTTGACTTTTTTAACGGTTGCAGCAGGACTCTTCTTCTTAGCCGCTTTAGGCTTGGCAGCAACTCTAAACGAACCGGATGCGCCAACGCCTTTCACTTGTACCAGCTCACCGGCAACGACCATTCGCTTAAGATTGATCTTCACTTGCGAATCGACATTATCGCCTACCTTGTTGTTGGCTTTAACGTGCTTGGCGATGGCTTGTCTGGACGATCCTTTGCGTTCTTTAAGCGAGTTGATGGCATCAACAATCATGGCCTTGTATGGAGCATGATCGGCAGGCTTTTTTGGAGCCGATTTTTTAGCGATCTTTTTAGGAGATGCGGCTTCACTCATTTTCTAGTAATCACACAAACTTTGCAGCTTAGCTAAATTTATCTTTCAAATGTTTGCATCGCAACGTTGTTTTTCTTTTTCTAGCCGAGTTTGTGCGGACTGTAGAGGACTATCCTAAAAATTCAGCTACTCCGTCGAGCTCCAAATTGTGTTTTCGTGTCGACAGGGAGACGTCCAGCGTTCACGTAGCTCTACTGCTAGAAAGTGCATTTCTTCGAAAAATCTTCTGTAGAATAGTGACGCTCAACAAACTCATTCGTTTCCGTTCGATAGCGATTCGCTAGCGATAGATATGCGCTCAAAACGACAAAAATCCGCTGTGTCAAAAGCAAACTAGCGTGCGCGTCGAAAGAAAAGCGAAGTAACGTTGACCTTGATCAAACCAAGTTTGCTTCTCAAGATAGACAAACAACACGGGAAGAGGAAAAACCAACGTTTTACGTTTGCCAAGCTATAGGTGTTGCTTAGACAGCAGAGTAACGAGCGACACAAACACGCGCGACAGTGAGAAAAACGATTCGACTTGCATCACGTGCCTCAGTACTTTTACAACTTCTTGTCACCGCGAGGAGGTGCGTAAGCGATGTGCTGATTATTTCGCCGCATTTAATTCAAAATTGCGCTGATAATTCAGTTGCTTGCCAGTTTATCGAAGCATTTCTGCTAGACGGATGTTTAAGAAAACTGCCGAGCCGTATACTCACTGATTTTATTCGACATCTGTCTGCCGCATTAACTTTAATGTAGCATTTGTTATATATATGAACAAGAAAGGCCATCAAAAAAAATAATGACAGTATCCATGTTTGTTGGCACAACAACAGCGACAACAGCAACAACAACAACAACAACAACAACAACAACAACAACAACACAAAGAGACAAGCAAACAAAAAACATGACTATAAGACGAGTTTTGTTTGTGATTCTTTTAATGTTGACGCGATGTTGTGGGAAATGTTTTGTATCATATACTTGTATCCCCGTGCCTCACTTTTATCTCACCGTGATAAATGTTTTGTATCACGGTGAGATAAAAGTGAGGCACGGGGATACAAGTATATAAGAGTTCAATTCGAATTACTCGAAAATCATTGCGTACTAAATCCCATTTTTAGTTGACAATGAAAACCAACACTTGGAGCCACGGACACGTTAAATTTAGAACTCTTTCGTCATTTTCTTTAGATCAACTCAGCAAAAGCGACACTTTTGAAACAGACTAATGCTAATATACTAAGGCCTTCAGGTCACCTTCAAACGTTGGAGGCAAAAAAAAAAAAAAAAAAAAAAAAAAAATTTTCGAAGCGACAAGATGGGCGAAAGTCTGAAAAAAGTCTTAGTTTAAATAAATAAGACTTTTTCCAGAGTTTTTATGTTTTTTGTTTCTTTGTTTTTTTATGTCAAGTTTGGCGATTGCCACAAATACGATCGCTAGTGACAAAAATGAGCTTGTTTGCTGTGCATAATTATTTACAATGACTTTACTTGACTATGTTTTTTCTGTTTCAGATAGACAAGTTCTAGTTATCATATGGACTGCATTTTTTTTTGCATGCATGCATGCATGCATGCATCGTGTAATAAGAATAAGAATAATATTAATAGTAATAAACAAAAATCAAAAAAAAATAAAAAAAAACAAACAAAAAAAACAACATAAAAATGGCCGTGAAAACATCGAAGGAAGCGTAGTTGTAAACTTGTTGGCACCAAAAATGCCACGCTTTGCGATCACGTAAATTCGGCCATCCATTTGACAACTGGTGATCTAGTCGATTGTTTCTATCATTTCGTGAAAAGTGCAGTCTATGGACTAAAAAGTCACTCTGTAGCGGATCATGGACATTTTTTTTTCGTTTACTTTTGTCGCCTGTTCGAATGTTAGTGATCGAAAAATATCTCGTAAAATAGGCCACCCGTTTGACAGCTGGCAAAACGGGTGTCTAGTCGCTTGCTTTTATCATCTGGTAAAAGAACACTTTATAAACTAAAAAGAAACTCTGGAGCGGATGCAGGACATTTTTTCTGTTCACGCATTTCATCCGTTTTTGGCAATCAAATCGATTGCTTTCAGTTAGTCTGATAAAAAAAAAAGACAAATTTTTTTCACTGAAAATGAAACTCTGCATTGAATTTAGAACTTTTTGTCTGTTCACACGTTTCCACAATATGACCGCTAGTGGTCTAATCGGTTGCTTTAATCATCTGTTAAAAGAACACTTTTTGGTCTGAAAAAGAAAATCTGGATTGAATTTAGAAACTTTTTGTCTATTCAAACATTTTACCCGTTTGACATTTTACACATTTTACCGTTTGACATTTTATTACTTGACAGCTAGTGATCTAACTGATTGTCTGGCGATAGGTTCCTCTACGCACTGAAAAGATAGTCTGCAGCGGATCCGAGACTATATACTCTGTTCTCCCATTATTATTACCCACTCGACAGCTAGTGATCTGCTTGATTGCTTTTATCATCTGAAAAAAGAGTCAAAGAAACGCTCTCGACTCAGTATACAATCTTGAGCGGATATACTGTACGATGAAATTTTGGCATATGTTTATAACGGTATCAATTAGGCAGGTAAGAAAAGATAAAAAAAGTAATTGGGGGAAACAAACTCAAAAACAAACAAACAAAAAAAATCGTTTCCTTAACTGCAAAAACGACGGATATTGTTAGCGCAACGCATTTTAGCATTGCCAAAAGCTCAGAAATTGAAAATGTCATTAAACTAACAAGCAAAACAAAACAAAACAAAACAAAATAACGTTGCAAGTAACCCTCAGGCGGATCAAAGGTTTTTTGGTCGTTCGAAATAAACTGCGAACACGTCAAAGTTTTCTGTGTTCAAGGGCTATCGCAATCAAGGATGTATCGCAAAAAGCAACACGAGCCCAAAAGTATGAAAACGAGCTTTTCAAAATGAAAATTTTACAAACTTATGTATTAATACTTCATTGATAAGCGATTGTCTGTTAAGAAAGTACACGTTCGAGTTCAAAACTTAAAACCAAAAAGTACTTTTTTAAAAAAAAAAAAAAAGACCCTCTGCTAGGCTCCAACTCCAATATGTTCTGGAGTCGTTTTCGTTCACGCAAAAATGTTTTTGACAAATGTGTGGCTATGAAAATAGCCTTTTTGTTTTAGTGCGTGCTCGCGTAGCTCCACTCTTTACTTGGCTGCTGCTGGTTTTGGAAGTTTTTCGTTCTTCTTGGGCAGCAAAACGGCTTGAATGTTTGGCAGCACACCACCGCTTGCAATGGTTACACCCGACAACAGTTTGTTCAGCTCCTCGTCGTTGCGAACAGCGAGCTGTAAGTGACGAGGAACAATTCTGGCTTTCTTGTTGTCTCGGGCAGCGTTACCAGCCAACTCCAAGATTTCAGCGGATAGGTACTCCAAAACAGCAGCCAAGTAAACTGGAGCGCCTGATCCGATTCGGTTGGCGTAATGACCTTTGCGTAAAAATCGATGAACGCGACCAACGGGAAACTGAAGACCGGCTCTGAAAGATCGTGTCTTGGCCTTGGCTTTAGCTTTACCTCCTTTACCACGTCCTGACATTTTAGATTTCTTTGTTGTTTACACGAAGCAACAGACAAAATTGTGAAACGAGTTTATTTTGAAGTAGCTTTGAATTGTTTGTCTTAGTTATTTAAAAGTAATGCTCTCAAAATCGACAAAATTTCGACGAATAGAAAAACAGCGTTTTCCGAAACAATGGTTTGGCGCGAGCCAATCGATTTAGCGCGCCGCATCACAAATGGACTCGAATTGGAGAGCACAACTCTGCAATAAATAACTAAGGCGTTCTACTGCACGCTAGAATTATTCGATATCAATCTCATTTGTAGAAATGTCTGACGCTCCGAAAGCAGGAGGAAAGCAGGCGCCCAAGGTAGCCAAAAAGGGTGAAAAGCGAGCTGGTAAAAAAGGCGGCAAGATCGCCGGGACAGGAGATAAGAAACGCAAGAAGAAGAGACGCGAGTCCTACGCCATTTACATCTATAACGTGTTAAAGCAAGTGCATCCCGATGTCGGAGTTTCGTCTAAAGCGATGAGCATCATGAATTCGTTCGTGAACGACATTTTTGAAAGGATCGCGTCTGAAGCTTCGCGACTCGCCCTTCAAAACAAAAAGTCTACAATCTCTTCGCGTGAAATTCAAACCGCCGTACGCCTCTTACTTCCCGGTGAATTGGCAAAACACGCAGTGAGCGAAGGCACCAAAGCTGTTACCAAGTACACGAGCAGCAAGTAGTTGTGCTACTACAAAAAGGCTATTTTCATAGCCACATATCTTTTAAAAACGGCGTTGTGCGCATTAGAACAAGACAGCTTGTAATATGGTGTGTGCGAAAGCAAACGCTAAATCGTTTTGTTAACTAAACTCTAAGATACATTTCTCGCCCTTGTCTTTAAAAACGGCCTAACAAAAGAAAGAAACTTTCATTCCAACCACCGCTTTACTATTTGAGTACTTTCTTTCATTTACTACTTGCCTTCCTAGACGTTATTTATATATATTTCCCAACGCGATGAGCGCCTAATCTGTAATACGCGATTTTCAATAGTCGTATTAACTTTAGGTTAAGAAATTTTGTTTACGCCAACAAGGCTTATCATTTATTATTACATTGCATTCCTTATTAACTTTTATATAAAATCAGTTTTTAACTTAATACGATTGCCTAACGTAAGCGTTGTTCAAATTGATTTCTTTTTATTTCATTCGATCTTTAATGTTTCTCTGTATACTGTCGAGGTTTCGATTGATAATTTCAGTGTTTTATTTAATATATAGATATATATATATATATATATATATATATATAACTTATATATAAATCACGCATGTTTGAAAAGCCATGCAACAAATAAATGAGAAAATAACGGCTCGGAAAGGCTCAACTGAAAGCGGATGCGATTGAATTTAAACAAAACCGATGCAAAATAAAAAAAAGCATCGTTTCAATTTCACAAACAATCACAGCCTGTATAGGCCTTTTCCTACATGTCCACATGCCAGATAAAACGTTTTCAACAGATTTGTGGCTATGAAAATAGCCGTTTTTTGTTGCTGGAGAGTTTATCCGCCGAATCCGTACAATGTGCGCCCTTGCCTCTTTAAGGCGTAGACAACATCCATGGCGGTAACAGTCTTTCTCTTGGCGTGCTCCGTGTAAGTCACAGCGTCGCGAATCACATTTTCCAAAAAGACTTTCAGAACACCTCGAGTTTCCTCGTAGATAAGCCCTGAGATACGCTTGACTCCACCTCGGCGAGCTAGACGACGTATAGCGGGCTTTGTGATGCCTTGAATGTTATCACGCAATATCTTGCGATGACGTTTGGCACCACCTTTGCCGAGACCTTTTCCTCCTTTACCACGACCAGACATGTTGAATTGTTCAGTTGAATACTAACTTCTGGCGCGATTTCACTAGTTTTTATTGCACGTCAAAGCTAACCCGACATAGATGGAAGCAATGCGCAAAAACACGCAAACACGACTGCTCACAAAAAAAGGCGCGCGTATTTTCATTATTGTGTACGTTCTAACAGATATTTTCAATTTGGATCAGCTAATCAATTGTATAAAAAAAAAACGAAAGGTGAAGCGAACTAGCAAAATAATAAACTGATCACGTCCGCCATATCAACGCAACGTTTGAAAGTAGAACTAAAAGCTAGAGAATCTGCAAGTTCAGAGCCCGCGGCGTTCATTTTTTCAGCAAAAAAGACGCCGAAGTTTTTGCAGAATTGTTTGAGCCAATCAAAAAGCACTTTCTAAGCGCCAATCAAATTGATGCACTCTTATAAAGGCGCTAAACTCTAACATGTCAACAAACCAGCGAATTAGTTTAAACTAGTGCTATCTCGAAAGCAGTGCAATTGATCGACTATGGCCCGAACAAAGCAAACTGCCAGAAAATCCACCGGTGGTAAAGCACCTCGAAAGCAGTTGGCAACGAAAGCAGCAAGGAAGAGTGCCCCAGCTACCGGCGGAGTGAAAAAACCTCACAGATACCGACCCGGTACCGTAGCTCTCAGGGAAATCCGAAGATACCAAAAGTCAACTGAGCTCCTCATCAGAAAACTACCGTTTCAGCGATTGGTACGCGAAATCGCGCAAGACTTCAAGACCGACTTGCGCTTTCAAAGCACTGCCGTCATGGCCCTTCAGGAGGCGTCCGAAGCCTACTTAGTCGGCCTCTTCGAAGACACCAACCTGTGCGCCATCCACGCAAAGCGTGTCACCATTATGCCAAAGGACATTCAGTTGGCGAGAAGAATCAGAGGAGAGCGAGCTTAAGAACTTCCTTATTCACAAAACGGCTATTTTCATAGCCACAAATCTGTTAAAAACGTATTCGGCTTCGACCGCGGTAGTGTGTCTACGCTACTTGCCCCATTACGGTTTTTCAGTACCCCAGTAGTATTTTCGATGAACCAAATGCGTTCAATAAAAAAAATGGTCACACTTCTAGTGTGCGTTTTAGACCTCTCTACGACAATGCGCGCCATAGACGTTTAGATTTACCCTGAGAATGTTAATAATTCTGCGATGGCCACAAGTAAGAGATCAAGCTCTAGGATATCTGGACAAACACACGGCGGAGATTTTGCGAAAGACTGCTAGCGCTATTCCAGGGTGTCTGCCAATATTGCAATATGGCTTTTCCTGATCTACTACCTGTTTTTCCTGATTTAATTTTAAGTTACTGAAACTCAACTCCAGAAAAAATAGGCTTAGAAACACGGTCTTTCGTTGCAAAAATGTAAATGACATTACGGTGATCTGGCAATTCTTTTTTTAGTTTCAACTCAAAGACTTTTGATGCAAAAAAGTGAGCGTTTTTCGGGGGTTTGTTCGTAATAAAGTCGTCTTGTAAAGTCGCATACGGGCTTCGTCAACAACGCAGGATTTTGTCGCAACGAACAAATCCTTATCTGTTCTATATGCCTATGCTCGTGTTTTTAGAAAGATGTGTGGCTATGAAAATAGCCGTTTAACATGAAAGGGCAAGCCGAACTTATTTCTTTTCGACTTTGGCGGTGGTCTTTTTCGCTGCGACTTTCTTCTTTGGAGTTGCTTTGGCTTTCTTGGCAGCAGGTTTTTTTGCTGCCAACGGCTTTTGGGCGCTCTTTTTCACTGGCGTCTTCTTAGCTGCTTTTTCCTTCGGTTTTTTCGCTTTTTCTTTGGCTGCTGTCACCTTTTTGGTCGGAGCGGCTTTCTTTTTGGGCGTGCTTTTCTTCACTTCTTTGCTTTCTTTCTTGACTTTTTTAACGGTTGCAGCAGGACTCTTCTTCTTAGCCGCTTTAGGCTTGGCAGCAACTCTAAACGAACCGGATGCGCCAACGCCTTTCACTTGTACCAGCTCACCGGCAACGACCATTCGCTTAAGATTGATCTTCACTTGCGAATCGACATTATCGCCTACCTTGTTGTTGGCTTTAACGTGCTTGGCGATGGCTTGTCTGGACGATCCTTTGCGTTCTTTAAGCGAGTTGATGGCATCAACAATCATGGCCTTGTATGGAGCATGATCGGCAGGCTTTTTTGGAGCCGATTTTTTAGCGATCTTTTTAGGAGATGCGGCTTCACTCATTTTCTAGTAATCACACAAACTTTGCAGCTTAGCTAAATTTATCTTTCAAATGTTTGCATCGCAACGTTGTTTTTCTTTTTCTAGCCGAGTTTGTGCGGACTGTAGAGGACTATCCTAAAAATTCAGCTACTCCGTCGAGCTCCAAATTGTGTTTTCGTGTCGACAGGGAGACGTCCAGCGTTCACGTAGCTCTACTGCTAGAAAGTGCATTTCTTCGAAAAATCTTCTGTAGAATAGTGACGCTCAACAAACTCATTCGTTTCCGTTCGATAGCGATTCGCTAGCGATAGATATGCGCTCAAAACGACAAAAATCCGCTGTGTCAAAAGCAAACTAGCGTGCGCGTCGAAAGAAAAGCGAAGTAACGTTGACCTTGATCAAACCAAGTTTGCTTCTCAAGATAGACAAACAACACGGGAAGAGGAAAAACCAACGTTTTACGTTTGCCAAGCTATAGGTGTTGCTTAGACAGCAGAGTAACGAGCGACACAAACACGCGCGACAGTGAGAAAAACGATTCGACTTGCATCACGTGCCTCAGTACTTTTACAACTTCTTGTCACCGCGAGGAGGTGCGTAAGCGATGTGCTGATTATTTCGCCGCATTTAATTCAAAATTGCGCTGATAATTCAGTTGCTTGCCAGTTTATCGAAGCATTTCTGCTAGACGGATGTTTAAGAAAACTGCCGAGCCGTATACTCACTGATTTTATTCGACATCTGTCTGCCGCATTAACTTTAATGTAGCATTTGTTATATATATGAACAAGAAAGGCCATCAAAAAAAATAATGACAGTATCCATGTTTGTTGGCACAACAACAGCGACAACAGCAACAACAACAACAACAACAACAACAACAACAACAACAACACAAAGAGACAAGCAAACAAAAAACATGACTATAAGACGAGTTTTGTTTGTGATTCTTTTAATGTTGACGCGATGTTGTGGGAAATGTTTTGTATCATATACTTGTATCCCCGTGCCTCACTTTTATCTCACCGTGATAAATGTTTTGTATCACGGTGAGATAAAAGTGAGGCACGGGGATACAAGTATATAAGAGTTCAATTCGAATTACTCGAAAATCATTGCGTACTAAATCCCATTTTTAGTTGACAATGAAAACCAACACTTGGAGCCACGGACACGTTAAATTTAGAACTCTTTCGTCATTTTCTTTAGATCAACTCAGCAAAAGCGACACTTTTGAAACAGACTAATGCTAATATACTAAGGCCTTCAGGTCACCTTCAAACGTTGGAGGCAAAAAAAAAAAAAAAAAAAAAAAAAAAATTTTCGAAGCGACAAGATGGGCGAAAGTCTGAAAAAAGTCTTAGTTTAAATAAATAAGACTTTTTCCAGAGTTTTTATGTTTTTTGTTTCTTTGTTTTTTTATGTCAAGTTTGGCGATTGCCACAAATACGATCGCTAGTGACAAAAATGAGCTTGTTTGCTGTGCATAATTATTTACAATGACTTTACTTGACTATGTTTTTTCTGTTTCAGATAGACAAGTTCTAGTTATCATATGGACTGCATTTTTTTTTGCATGCATGCATGCATGCATGCATCGTGTAATAAGAATAAGAATAATATTAATAGTAATAAACAAAAATCAAAAAAAAATAAAAAAAAACAAACAAAAAAAACAACATAAAAATGGCCGTGAAAACATCGAAGGAAGCGTAGTTGTAAACTTGTTGGCACCAAAAATGCCACGCTTTGCGATCACGTAAATTCGGCCATCCATTTGACAACTGGTGATCTAGTCGATTGTTTCTATCATTTCGTGAAAAGTGCAGTCTATGGACTAAAAAGTCACTCTGTAGCGGATCATGGACATTTTTTTTTCGTTTACTTTTGTCGCCTGTTCGAATGTTAGTGATCGAAAAATATCTCGTAAAATAGGCCACCCGTTTGACAGCTGGCAAAACGGGTGTCTAGTCGCTTGCTTTTATCATCTGGTAAAAGAACACTTTATAAACTAAAAAGAAACTCTGGAGCGGATGCAGGACATTTTTTCTGTTCACGCATTTCATCCGTTTTTGGCAATCAAATCGATTGCTTTCAGTTAGTCTGATAAAAAAAAAAGACAAATTTTTTTCACTGAAAATGAAACTCTGCATTGAATTTAGAACTTTTTGTCTGTTCACACGTTTCCACAATATGACCGCTAGTGGTCTAATCGGTTGCTTTAATCATCTGTTAAAAGAACACTTTTTGGTCTGAAAAAGAAAATCTGGATTGAATTTAGAAACTTTTTGTCTATTCAAACATTTTACCCGTTTGACATTTTACACATTTTACCGTTTGACATTTTATTACTTGACAGCTAGTGATCTAACTGATTGTCTGGCGATAGGTTCCTCTACGCACTGAAAAGATAGTCTGCAGCGGATCCGAGACTATATACTCTGTTCTCCCATTATTATTACCCACTCGACAGCTAGTGATCTGCTTGATTGCTTTTATCATCTGAAAAAAGAGTCAAAGAAACGCTCTCGACTCAGTATACAATCTTGAGCGGATATACTGTACGATGAAATTTTGGCATATGTTTATAACGGTATCAATTAGGCAGGTAAGAAAAGATAAAAAAAGTAATTGGGGGAAACAAACTCAAAAACAAACAAACAAAAAAAATCGTTTCCTTAACTGCAAAAACGACGGATATTGTTAGCGCAACGCATTTTAGCATTGCCAAAAGCTCAGAAATTGAAAATGTCATTAAACTAACAAGCAAAACAAAACAAAACAAAACAAAATAACGTTGCAAGTAACCCTCAGGCGGATCAAAGG